ACCGATAACCGATGGGGAAGAAAGGTTCTCGAGTGGCAGCCTCGTACCGGTAGGCGTAGTGTAGGGCGACCCCCCCACTAGATGGAGTGACGACCGTGCTTTGGGGCATTACTTGGGGAAGGCCTATGTTCAGCAGTGGACTTGTGAAGGGCGTAATGATGATGATGATGATATACACACACACACTATATATATATATATATATATATATATATTGGTGAGGAGAGACCGGCGACCCATTTTACTGGAAACGAGGCATTCCATCTTAGTCCTCACGGGTGACAACACATCTGCATTTTGATTCGTAATCGAGGATAGATGTAGATGTCTATGGGCCACAGCAACCACTTACCATCAGGTGGACTGTGTGCTCGATTGTCACCCTATCCTATAAAAAAAAAAAAGAAGCATCCTGACCCAACTTCTCTACATTCATATGGCCAAAACAACGCAAATGCAGGATTTTGGGTGAGGGTTTAGGAGGTTTCTGGATATAGGAAAGGAAAATGTGACCATGATGGGAGAAACCAGACGCATATTGTTGACCATGAGAAGAGACAAGGGTGGGGTTTGAGGTGAGCATTAAATCGAGCCACGAGTCCTCCTCGTCCGCATTGTGGCGAGTGGCTTGTAGAGGTATATAAACATAAAGGCCAAACATAAAGGCCAACCGACTCGATTATTTGAAGGAACTTATAGGAACGGGATGAGTGTGAAGCCAGGAAATTTGTATTAAAATCACCCATGATAATGTGATGTGAGTATTCTGTCCCTAAAGATTCCAGAGTCGTTTCGAGACTGGAGAAGTAATCAACAGAGGGGGGACAATATACAACACCAAGAACGGTTTTAGCTCCCTTCACACATACTTCAAGAAAAAGAAATTCAGCAGATGCGGAGTAAAAGGGCGAGGAGGAAGCTAGAAGTTTATAAGATAAGCCACTGCGCAGGTATATAGCAACACCACCCCCTCTCTTGTCAACCCGATCGTTTCGTATTAAAGTGAAACCAAAGAGGGGGTAAGTGGTTAAAAAAAGATGGGGTTTCAACCAGCTCTCCGAAATCAGGATGGCACGAACGTTCACGTTAGTAAAGGCCATTGAGATCACTGTAGTGGCTGGGTACACTTTATGCATTGATATGACACACATTTAGCGAAGAGCTAGACTGGTCAAATGTATAACGTAGAAAATCACCCAGCGTATCAGTTATGGAACAAAAACTATCGCAAATAGATGCAGCAGTTTCGTTGGCAGAAAAAAAAAGAATCATCATCAGCGTTCATAAAAATAAATATAGATTTTTTTTTTTATATATATATAGTATATGATATAAAATATATAAAGCTAATTAAATTATTATTAAAACGTACCTAACTTGGATGGTAGACCAAGGCGTACTGTCATCTCTGCACCACCCGTCAGCTAACATACGCACCTTAAATGAATAATTTATCAAATAATAAGCAAAATGAATTAAAAAGATAATGTAAAACACGAAGCATATTATGTACGTTAAACACATAATTATCGAATAGAGTATTACAACAGAATGATATGGAAAAAAACACAGACAAAATTATTTCATAGAGTTAATCGGTACACAACGTGTATAGACTATAAACTATAACACTACATGACAGGTTACCGAAATTCGAAATATTAGCCTTAAGTTGTCAAATTGGCATTAAACTAGAATAGAAATGACAACTGACAATTATTCATACAACATACAAAAGCATGTTTACATTTTCATTCGAGAGAATAAATAGCGAATATAATCTTAGTAATTATAAATACGATATTCATGTTACAAGAACAAGGAAGGAGGATATAATTAGCTTAGAAAGAAAAAAAATACAACGCTTAGTAGTGAACACAGAAACCATTTTGGAGTTACGTACCTATACATATATTCTAATAAAGCAAAATAAAATTCTATACATTTTACCTAAAAAAAAATTTGAGAAATTTTGTATTAAGGTAATGAAAAGAAAACATACGTAACTACAAACTACACTTGTCGTCACCTACGAAGTTTTGAAAGAGAGTTCGTTGATCTCACAACTGCGGTCTTGCCCACAACCAAGGATTCAGCTGCTGATTTGGGGTATTTCTGCTTTAAAGAGTTCAGCTCGTCTAGGGAAGTGATTTTATGCCGGGATCCATCAGCAGCTTTCACCACAATTACACCGTCCTGAGTCCAACAATCTCGCATACCAAAATGCTGCCGGGCTTTAGCATGAACACCTTCACGGGTCTTTGTCAAGAATTCTTTAACTGCAATCGATGAACCTTCAAGCTTGGACTTTGACCTCCACACCGATGTTCTGGAGTCAATGTCAACAAACCGTACCAATATTGGTCGTTGATGGTTTTTACTGGCTGCTCCAATCCTGTTACAAACTCTGATGCTAGAGGCTGTAACGTCTGTTAACTGCATCTTGCGAAAAATGCTCACCACAGTGGCTTTACAATATTCCTTCTCTTCTTCAGTAACACCGAGGAAAATGAGAGCCTTACGACGATGCCTGGTTTCGATGACATCTACCGTACAAGAGCACTCAATAATATAAAAATATTTCTAAATGACTAATTAATTAAATATTCTCACGTTTATGACGTTATATCTGTCAATGTCATATAGATATATAGTAGTAGTGAATCGATCTAGTGAATCGATATATCACCCTGGAGAATCGAATCTTTTTCTGTTTTATTTAAGAAGTATAAAATTATTTACAATTAGTTGAATGTACCCCAACTCGTAGAGAATTACAGTTTTTCAATTCAATCATTTAATGTTATCTGTTCTTTATTGTATCTTTAGATATTATAAATATAAACTCTTAAGGCAAATCAAAAAAAGATCGATTTTTGCGAAATCGATCTCTAAGATTTTGATTTTTTTGTGAATCGATTCATCCAATTTCGATTCGAATCGATTTAAAAATGTGTAAAATTAATCGCTAGACTGGCCATTATGTTGACACCTTTACGTCATGCCGTCACGCCGTTGCTTCCGAGTTTCAGAATTTTGGTGAATAGTAGAATATTTGTGGCAGAGGAATGCTGCTAAATATCGCAAAGATCTTTTCTTACATTTGTAAGAAAAGGTGGCAGCCATAAATTATGTTTATAAATTTAAAGTAGTTATAGAAGTTAATATTTTGATATTGAGTGCATTAGCGAGCGAAGCGAGCCTGGGATGTGTTAGAAGGGGATAATGGGGTCGGGTAAGCGAGCGAATTGACCCCGCCATCCCCTTCGTGGTTTTTTTATTAACCTCTCAGAAGTAGGAGCCCCGCTTCGGGGGCCCATCGACCGATGAACCGAAGTGGTGTGGGGCTTCCGTCCCCCAACTCTCTCTCCCCATGAATCAGATTAAAATTATCATAAAAACACAGAACTGCAAGACTTCAACATAATATTATAAGTCCAGACTGCGTAGATCGGAACAAAAGTTAATAATTTTAATCTGGAGGAGCCGTAACCGTGACATTGGAACATCGAACACTTCCGTGCCCCCGTGACCACAGGTGCTGTAAAGTGCTCGAAACGTCGGGAATATTAAATAAGTTAATAAATTTCGTAAAAGTTAGTATTATTTAAATTTGTAGTGTTTGCGTGAATTCATTCGTGAAATCATTACGTTTCATTTAAATTAAACAATAATTAATAGGAAATATAATATATAATAATAAATATAATATATATAACACTCGATATAATCCGTAAAAACTAGATTTATTAAAATTTTTTACTCTAGGAAATTTTAGTTTTACATAACTTAACATATCAAAATCAATAATCATCAAATCATTAAACTAGCAACAACAAATAATCCGGCCAATTATATTAAAATGTCAAAAATAGTGAAAAAAAAATCATAAATAAACAAAATGAAATTAAACAATTTTGTATACCACATCAGTTAACAACAAATATGTCAATTATGAGCAAAAAGTCTCACCAGTAATTTAAAAACTCATTTACGTAGTAAAATGAGTTTTGAGGAAGTCACTGGTATAATTTTTTTAAATGTTTGTATAGGAAGATCTTTAATTGTGTAGGGTTTTTATTGTATAGGTATTGTTTACCCATCCAACAAAAACTTTTGTTAATGCGTTTACTTTTTGGTATTTCGCTAATTACATACTATCCGATTTGGGTATCTTGTATTCGTGGATTCCACTTCTTTATTAAGTTCTTAAAAACTTCTTCCGTAATTGTATACAGACAAGTCACGGTTAAGATCCCAGTGTCTTAAATAAAGGCGACATCTATTAAAGGCACGAACACGTCCAAATCTAAATTATAATGGCTCAATATGTGCAAAATATGTCATATTGCAGTTTGTTTTGTTGCCACTTTGTTGTTCTATAAAGCGCATATGTGAACTTGTTTACTTTCTTACGTATTTTACAAACATGTTCTTTCCACTTAAATTCTTTGTCAATAATTATCTAGAAACTAGAAATGTCACGTGCTTACACCGCCACTACACGGTCAATAAGTCACTACCGTGGAAAATTTTCTGTTTGAGATAAATCAACTAGATAAAGACATTTATTATATTACAGAACTTGAATTATTTACCTGTTATTCCTGTGGCTTTGTATTCACCCAGTCCTATTAATCTAGATTTAAATTTGGTACTGCCCTGTACCTGCCCTTATTCGAGTCTAATTTTCATGTATGACTGCTTAGGAACTTTTTGTACGAAAGTATTTGCTAAAACATTTTACATATACTTTTTTCTTAAAATTTTAGTTCATTTCGTATTAAATTAGCCGTTGGTATAACTGGTTTAAGCGGTTGCCAACCAGCCTGCCAAACGTGGCAACTACGGAAAATTTACTCCTCTTGAGATAAGTTGATATGAGCAAGCCCCATGTTCAATGAAATTAATAATAAGCTGAATATGTGTTCGCTTAAAAATAATAATTAAATTACATTTAAAAAAACTACAGTCGCTATAGAATTTAAAAAAAAAAGACATCAATAATATTTGAAATCTTCGAACTTGGTAGCGGCTGCTAAGCATATTTGCTGTGTGGTAAATGGTCCATCTGAAAAATAAAATTTCGTACGTCAAAAACTAATTTAAATGCGAATTGATAATTTCATCGCATTTTTTATTAAGGAAAGTTGTTAAGAAATTTAAATTTGTCTGTATAATTTCAATAACTGATAATAATATAATGTCTGGCTGACCGAACTTTGGTTACGACGGTCATTCTCAATGGAAAGTAGCACAGGTGGACTCTCTATCCCATCACTCTCATATTCCGATGGGGCCGCAATCGATAACGATCGGAGAGAGATCAAGCGCTTTTGACCAAAGGCTTTACGTGCTTTTTTAGGGACGGGAGAATTTCTTGTCAAAAAAAGCCAATAAATAATTTTGACCCCATCCAGGATTCGAGCCCGGGTCATCAAGATAGATTGCTTACGACCACGAAACCAAAGAGACAGTCAATAACAACATCTTATCTATGTCTATACCTGTAGCAAGTTTTAAAGGTGGCAAAACTATAAATATCAAAATTAGGAAAATCCAAAAGTGTACGCCTCATGAACGTTTCATTCAATTTTGATGAAAAACAAATTACCAAACTAATCGATTATACCAAGTATAAATTCGATATAGGCTGTAATTGTACATCTGTCCTTTTTCTATCAAGGGCTAAAAAAATAAAATCAATTGGAAATTATAACGTAGAAGGAACATTTACAAAAAATCAAAAATCGTTTTATTAACAAACTACGCGTACTAGGCTATTGATATGAAATAGGAAATAGGTTGATGTAATTCTGAAGCAAAAAAAAAACCCGGTCTCTATACGTCAATTTTTTCAAGAGTTATCGCGACCACATAAAAAGTCAGCGTGCAGACATCCGGACGTCCACGTAAAATTTTTTCAAACTGTTTTTTTTTTTTCAAAGTAGTGTTACGAGCTTGGGGTTCGTGACAATAAAAATTGTCGATAGAATTACCTAAATTAACTTTTTAATTCACTTTACACTAATTAAACTTAAAACACTAATAATTAATCACACTGATTCACTTTATTCCGCTCCAAAGCTTCGCTTGTCTCGCCAAATTCAATACTTCCCCGATCGCATCTTGCAGCGCCCATAAATACAAATTAGCACCGAAACATCCAGAATATTCAAGTAAACACGCGCAAGGGGCCGAAAGTTCGAGTTTTGACTTCTAGAAGCTTAGTTTTTCGTTCCGAGACTAGATGGCGCTGTCGGTTGAAAGATTAGTGATGTCATTTTCTGGAAAACTCCCCTCGCTCTCGTCCTTGATACTAGATGGCGCTAGTTCCGGGTACATGACGTCGACTTTGGCGCGTAACACTGCCCCCTCCTAAGACATGCTCGTCCCGAGCATTATCGGACCCATAATAACGCGCCAAGCGATCCGCATGGACGATCTTAGGAGTCCTTCTTGCGCCTTTCTGTAACGGCTCCGCAATGTCAAGGGCTGTCCTATCCCGTGGTGCACCAACATTGTACAATTTCGATGCTCCTCTACTACGTGTCTGACGTTCCCTCACAGCCGCACAACTTGTACATGTACGACACCAATCCTCGACATCGTCACGATAATGGACCCAGTAAAACCGTTCTCAGACCTTCAGTAGAGTTCGTTTAACTCCCAGATGGACTCTTGAACGACAATTATGGCATAGCTGTAGAACATTCGGCACTTTAGCTTTAGGGACAACCATTTGCAAACGACAGCTGTCTCCTCGACCATTGTCCCATTTACGGCACAGGACACCATCCTGAATCAGCAAGCTGTCCCATTGATCCCAATAGCTTTTCGTGGTTGAACTCATCGCTGAGATGTCCCTCCACTTAGGCTTGGTAGCAAGGGCCTTCATCCATTCCAGAATCGGCTTGATGTCCGGATCTTCCTGCTGTGCATGTCGTAGACTGTCCTTCCAGTCGTTGCTGAGGTGGTCTGTCCTGAGCATCCTCACGGATACCACTTCCTTACCCTCTTGCCTAGTACAATCTTTGCAATCTTCAGGACAAAGTCTTCTTGACAATGCATCTGCGTTGCCATGAGATTTCCCGCTGCGATGTCTGATAGTAAAGTCGTATCCCGGCTGCTGCTGGGCGGTGATGTTAGCCGCACTTCCCTTATGAGATCGTTCACCTTCCCTTTCTAGGGTTCGCTTAGGGCAGTTGGATCGAAGATGGCCCGTTTCCCCACAGCCATAGCACCTAGGACTGTATCCTTTATTGTGGTCGCGAACCGTAACTGCTGCAACCCCCCTAACGTGAGGGGAACGATGATCCTGACGCCACCAGGCAGTGCCGTTAGCTGCACTACTCTCTCGGGATCGATCAACTTCCCTTTCTACGGTTCGCTTAGGGCAGCTGGATCGAAGATGGCCCCTTTCCCCACAGCCATAGAACCTAGGGCTGTATCCTTTGTTGCGGTCGCGAACTGTAGCTGCTGCAACCTCCCTGACGCGATAGGAACGATGACCCTGCCGCACGGCTTCCACCTCCAGTACATGGGCCAAGGCGTCCTTAAGCGTCTCGTGCTGCCCGAGCCTCACAGCAGCTCTGACTTCCAGGTCGCGGATGCCGTCGATGAATGTCTGAACCAGGTTCCCATCATTGAGCGCAGGTACAGACCGGTATGCTCTTCGCACCAACTTCTCCACCTCTAGAGCCCACTGCTGCAGGTTTTCGTTGATGCGCTGCACGCGATCTTTAAGCTGCGTACGAAAGACGTGTTTCAGGTGAGCGTCGCCATATCTCGCCTCCAATGCCTCAAGGAGTTGCTCATAAGTCACTTCCTCCCCGAGAGCTTCCAGAACTGTTAAGGCCTGGTCGCGCAGGCCTAGTGTGAGAGCAGTCATGGCCTGACTTTTATTCCAGCCGTTCGCCTTCATAACAGCCTCGAACTGGATTTTGTAGGCTGACCAGGAAGAAGTCCCGTCGAACGGTGGCACTTAGAATCCACGTAGCGAAGGTGTAGTAGCTACTACGGGAGCTGTAGTTCCATCACACAGTTTGAGGTCGCCCAGCGTTTTCTTCACGTCAGCCACCACGTAATCAACCCGATTGTTCACTTGGTCGATTTGGGTTTTAGCTTCCTTGATTTGGGTTTCAGCTTCCGACAGGCGGTTGTCATGTTGAGCAACCCTATCCTTCACCTCCCTTATCTCTTTCCCAAAGGTAGCATGAAGGTCCTTCATGAGGAGCATCTGCTCTTCCGACCGACGAGCCTGTTCCGCCTGCTGATCTTCCAACCGACGGGCCTGTTCCTCCTGTCAGCGGGCCTGTTCCTCTTGTCGGCGGGCCTGTTCATCCTGTCCGCCCCGCAGCTGCTCTCCCAACCAACGGACCTGTTCCTCCTGTCAGCGAGCCTGCTCCTGCTGCATCACCATCAGAGCACCTAAGTCAGGTGCTGCAGATGTGGGAGCTACTGACGGGCCTGCAGCCGGCGGCTGGCTCTCCGAAGTCTGCGGCGTTGCACCACCAAATCTTCTTTGGTCCGTCTCCTGCTGGCGTTGACTTCGGGTACGGACACGCTCCGTTTCCTCCTTAGGTAAAATCGGCATGATTTTATCCCACTTCTGACACCAATTGTTACGAGCTTGGGGTTCGTGACAATAAAAATTCCTTTTTTTTTTGGTTTTGTTTTTTTTTCTTTAGGGGGGGGGTTGTTGTTTTTTTTTTAGTGTGTTCTCGATATACGGCTAGTCATATTATCGTATAAGTGCAGGTTATGATAGAAGTATTATAAGACCACAAAATTGAGGTGTCTTTAGTAAAACACTACCTCAAATGCTTCGCGATATGGGGCGTGCTAAAACTTTTTTAAGTTACATTTATTAAAAACGATAGCTCAAAGCCGTGACGGGACCACTCGTCTTAAAAATTCATTGTACGCTAGCTAAACAAGTCTAACTCTCGCCGATGCCAATGATCGTTACTTGAAAATTTAAGCACTGATTAACGTCGCTATCAGCAATTAAAGAAAACATCGTGTGAGAGAACTTATTTTTCAGATAAATTAAAATGTGTAAAATATTTTGGGAGCATGTGACTTTACCCAAACAAACAGCGGCGGCACGGCGATATCTTTCCAGCTTCTATAATATTTTTTTCCAGTAAAGGGAGATGTGTCAAGCAGTGGGACATATAGTAATATATTTTTTATTAATTTACTTATTTGTTTAAAATAAAGATATTTTCTAATTTTACATTAAGGGTTCCCGTTACGTTGTATCAAAAATCCAGTGGAGCTTGTCCCTATACTTGTCTTCATACCAATTTGTGAAATTTAAGCCAAGTAATTTAATAGACAGTGACAGGGCTGCAATATCGTACCATTACATAAACTTACAAGCAGTAAGAGTAAGATAAGAATGAGCTATCTAGCAAGAATTATATTGACGCAAAGATTGTTGAGTTTTGCTCTGATGATTAGCGCTCACTATAAAATTCACAGTATTCGAGCAACTCAGGTTCGATCCCCGCCAGCACCAGTGCAATTTTAAGATCTGATTTATCACGTGCTTGGCAGTAAAAGGAAATATGTGAGGAAACCTGCATGTCTGAGAAATAAGAAAAAATATATTTCGAAGACTTGTGAAGTTCGCCAACACGCATTGGGGCAGTGACAGTTCCTTGCCCTAAAAACCCTCTAAAAAATGAGAGAAAGACTGTGCCCAGAAATGGAACGTATAAAGGCTATTACTTTAAATATTAACAAGGGAAAAAATTATAAACGTTAAATTATAATAATATGGACAAAAGTTTGACTGAAAACTGTAAATAAGAGTATTTTATGAAAGCAAGGTTATATTTTAATGCTCACCAATTTGGAACCATTCTGTAGTTGAAATCCCAGAATCGAACCTTGCCGAAGCAATGGCTTCTCTCATAGCAAGAGGTACTGCTACAGCTAAGCTTGTAGCGGGTTCGCCAGTAGCTGCGTGCATAAATTATGTCTTAAATATTGTTTCAAATAAATCCCTTGTCGTTACAGTCTATTAAAGTCCATAGCTGAACATAGGCCTCCCCTATATATTGCCTAACGGGGGGAGGATATTTGCCACAATTGCCACGCTTGGTAAGCAGGTTAGCAATCACAGTTTTTTTAGTCCCTATTAGGAGGACGCTGCTGCTCATCTTCTGATTAGTTTTCCTCTGTCGCCTCTGACGCCACCCACGGGATGATAGACTTGCACTGCCACTACACGGTAAAATTTGCATTTAGAAACAAATTACTTCTTCTCTTAACATATTTAAGGATAAAATTAGGGTTTTGAAAATGATGTATTTTCACATCGTTTCTATAACGAGGTAAATTATTGAATAAAACTATTATTTACGGATTTTTTTTTCGCGTTTAATTACTTTAATTTATTTTTATTATTATCCAGACATATTCATGGAGGACTTTGAGGAGAAAGCCCTTCTTACTGCTCCTGTAAATCCAAGGTTCTACAAGCGGTACGTAGACGACACTTTCACAATTTTACCATCTTACAAAGTAACTGCATTTTTAGGCCACCTTAACTCCATAAACTCTAAAATACAATTCACAATGGAGTTAGAGACAAATAATTTTTTAGCCTTCCTAGATGTTTTAGTCATCCGAAATCCTGATAACACTATTGGTCACACTGTGTATAGGAAAAAGACCCATACCAACCGATATCTAAATGGTGAATCTCACCATCATCCTTCACAGTTAGCTACCGTGGGTAAATCTTTGTTTCAGAGAGCACGAGGGATCTGTGACAGAAAACATCTGGCCGCGGAGCTTCAGCACGTCAAGCAAGTATTGCAAGACAACAAGCTTCGGGTCCCGCGCCTACGTCACAGTGAACGAGTGAAGCCGGCCACAGTCGAGCGCGCGCCTGCTCTACTACCATATGTCAGAGGAGTCACGGACAAGATTGGCCACATCTTGAAGCGAGCGTCCATTAAGACATACTACAAGATACCGCTGAAGAAGATTAGTCAATTTTTACCATCCATCAAATGTAATATTTCTCTACAAGATGCAGGTGTGTACAAGCTAGATTGTGAATGTGGTCTCTCTTACATAGGTCAAACAAAGAGATCTATAAAAACCCGCGTGAAGGAACATATAGCTGATGTGAAGCACCGACGCTCCGGGAAGTCTGCAGTCTGCGAACATGTTCAAGGTCGTCCCCACCATTACATTAGATTTGATAAACCACAAATTCGCGAGGCTATTGAAATTAAAAAACATCCAAATTTCAATAGAGAAGATGGTTGGGTGCTACCATCTGCTTGGGATCCTATAATTAACAAAATTAAACCCAAACCCAAGCATAACACTGCAAGACTTCATGATACTATACGCTCGTTTTGCGTAAATCGGACCAAAAAAAATTAATATAAAAAAAACTGAAGGTAGCCGGACTAACTATGACATTGGAACATCTCAGTCCCCCCCGTGACCATGGGTGCTGTAAAGCACCCGAAACGTCGGGATAATAATAAAAATAAATTAAAGTAATTAAACGCGAAAAAAATCCGTAAATAATAGTTTTATTCAATGTGTAGTGTTCGCGTAAATATAAGAAATCATTATGAGGTAAATTATGGCAAAATTATATTAATGAGCGCTCATAGAAAGGATATATGCTATAGTTATTACGCTTCACAAGCGGGTTGGTAACCGCTAATTTTTATTAATATCCTGGGTCAGTTTCTCTCTGTCGCCTAATATGACACCCACGGGAAGATATGGGGTAGTGGATATTCTTACAACATCACTACATGGTACCGACGATATGGAGTGACGACCTGATGAAGCAAACACTCAGGGAGTCGCTGGATGGTGGTGATTCAGGGCCGTACTTTGTGACAATCCATTGGGGGGAGACCTATTTTGATTAGTGAGCTTGTGATGGACTGTATTAATATGTGGACACATAAACATATACATAAACACTCACTCCTGTCATCCAGAGTGGTAGGCAGAGACTACGGACTTCCAATTGGCACGATCTTGACATACTCTCTCGCCACCTCCACATCCATGTACCTACGCATACATGCTCGTCTGTTAAGGGTACTCTTATTTTGGTCCCTTTTTCCCGGCCCTTCCCGACTCTGTTGTTCATTTTTGCAACATAAATCGTCATCCATTATTTCTACATGACCACACTACTGAAGCATTCCTTTCTTAATACTGGTCACAACATCTTTTTGCAACCCACAATCTTCTCTCATCACACAATTTCTCACTTAATAAAGAAACAGATACTGAATAAAATTTGATGTGCAAAATATTTCACCTTTAGAACCAAGATAGATTTCATAGTTATATGACTTCTTTCGAAAATAAACACGAAAGTCTTGTGGTATGTCCCTTGCTTGAGGCACCCAATAATTCCATGTGCGATCTGAGAGCACTTCTCCGGTTTTTGGTTCAAACTCTAACTTTTCACACGTCCAATATCCCAAACCCATAACAAATGCTCCTTCGACCTGGAAATAGTTCAATTTGAGCTTAACTACGATCCGTTGACCGAAAAAGGGTTTTACTATGTATCACTTCACTACCTATTATATCTCTTATAGAATTGGATCATACTTTTTTCTGCCACAAATTGGAAGCAGGACAACTAGAAACAATTCAGTGCATTTTCTACATATTGATCACCTTCTATTTCAATAAATATTCTTTATTTTATTAAAACTACTAATAACTACTTTAAGTAACTTTAAAAACTTACCTGGCCCAAATCTACTTCAGGACTGACACTTTGACCTACATCTTCCAAAAGATCGACTCTTTTTAATTCCCACTGCCCAGTAATTATATCAGTTTCTACTTCAACTACTATAACGCCATAAATATCATAAAAAACTGCTTCCGCTGAGCTAACGTAGCCTCTAGTTTGTAAGTCAACATTTGAATTATGTGCTTTTTCGATCAGTTCCTCCCAAGAAGGATTATTCATTTGCTGCCTAATCGGTTCTAATCTTCTAAGTAATTCTTCACAACACCTCTGAACACTTAACCCTACGTTCTGTGACGTAACACTTCCCCCAGATTCATTCACATTAGGCGAAGAAATAGTACTTTGTCCTTTTACCTGAATCTTGCTTAGTGGTATTTTTAGAAAATAGGCGCATATCTGAGCAGCTTTCGTGTTAATACCCTGGCCCATTTCAACCCCACCGTGTGTAATAGCTACACTCCCATCTCCGAAATACACGGATAAATTGGCAGTCATGACTAGAGGGGTTTCTGATCGCCATCTCATAAAAGCGACCCTCAGCCCCCTTTTCAACCATCTGTTTTCTTCATTAAACTGCTTTACAGATTTCTTTCTTGCATCGTACTGTGAATTTGTTTTTATATTTTCCCACATTTCCAGTATTGCACTTTGATGAGCAGGATCCAAGTTAGCCACTCGTACTTGAATCGGATCTAAGGACATTTCGTAGGAAATTCTCTCCATTATATGCTCTGTATTTGCAATGTTCTCCAATGTGCCTACAAAAGATAGTGCAGTAGTTAATGAATGTTCATTTCATTGCATAACTAGAACCTCACCGCATCCATTTAGCGTGTTTATTACAGAACCTGGGGGTTATCTACACTACGCGCTGAATGGAAATAGAATACTGTGATTAGATTGTACAACTGTGATGTTTGAAGGAAAGAAAAGAAAATTTAAATTATACGCTTTCGAACATACATAGATGTACATGTTAAAGCATAAAACATTAAATTTTATATTGATAATCTACGGTTGTAGTTGAACATTTAATAGTATAGCTTTGTAATTTATATGAAAACTATACACTGATTATACGTTTCTAAGAGGTGGTGGAAAATTCTTCCAGCAATTAGTTGCGGCATATCTGAAGCTTTCTAGGAATGCGGCAGAACGATGTTTATGTATCAGCAACTTGTACGTCGAAGCTCTTGTCGAAATGTAGCATTGTCTCGTACCTATTGTTACTTCTTAGAAAGATAGGAGGGTGTTCTCGTTTTAATAGTGCCAAACAATAAAATGGATAAAGGTAATGGCCAACGATAATCCATTCTCCTTAATATATTAATAAGGTGTCACATGGGCACGTGGAGGAATTTTATAACAGAAGCAAGCACAAACATTTTGAACACGCTGAATAAGTTTCCTCAATCGTTTGAAAAGTCTAGGGCCTAACACCGCGTCAGCGTAGTTAATGTTAGATAGAATTAACGATTCACATAATTTCTTACGCACCTCAGTGCGTAAAACATTTCTGATTTGGTACAGAACTTTTTACCGGTAAAAGTAGTTCTTAGCTGTATTAATTATCTGTTTTTCAAACCTTAGCTTCTAATCCATTACTGTTACGAAGTTTCTCGCCTCGTTTATACGCTCATCATCATCATCATCATCATCACAGCCCTTCACAAGTCCACTGCTGAACATAGGCCTCCCCCAAGTTCATTGGGGGGTATTTGCCATAGTTGCCACGCTTGGCGAGCGGGTTGGCAACCGCAGTTTTTTATTACGTCACAGTTGTTATCAGGAAGATGCTGCTGCCCATCTCCTGCCTGTCTCCCTCTGTCGCCTCTTACGACACCCACGGGAAGATATGGGGTAGTGGATATTCTCAACCGCCACTACACGGCAAATTATACGCTCAACATTTACATTTTTTATTTTTACCATTGGGTGGGCAGCTAAAACTTTATTGATTTGTTCTTCATTACCGAGTAATTGTCAGTGATGACTTACGGATCAGAGACGTGGTCCTTCACCGCTGGCCGTATGAGGACGCTCAAGGTTGCTCAGCGAGCTATGGAGAGGGCTATGCTCGGAGTTTCTCTGCGTGATTGACTCAGAAATGAGGATATCCGCAGTAGAACCAGATTGACCGACATAGCCGAACGGATTAGTAAGCTGAAGTGGCAATGGGCCGGCCATATAGCTCGAAGAACCGATAACCGATGGGGAAGAAAGGTTCTCGAGTGGCAGCTTCGTACCGGTAGGCGTAGTGTAGGGCGACCCCCCACTAGATGGAGTGACGAACTGGTAAGACACGCAGGAAGTCGATGGATGCAGGTGGCTCAGGACCGTGCTTTGTGGCGTTCCTTGGGGGAGGTCTATGTTCAGCAGTGGACTTGTGAAGGGCTTTAATGATGATGATGATACCGAGTAATATATATTTTGATTTATTAGGATTTAAAACTAAGGCGTTTGCCCAGTCTGCTATGCTATAAGGACTTCAAAAATTTTTGGAAATCCACAAATAAATTAAACCTGCGGCCTGGTCTTCCTATGAGCATTGGTAACACTTATGATAAAATAGAGATTGTTGAAAACTTTAGGCAATATTTTAATTTTAACTCTCCTTTAGGACCCATAAATGGTAAAACAAACCCGGTTCGCTTCACAGCTAAACAGGTGGGTGCAGTGATTACGAACATGAAAAGGATTCCTCCTAGGAAACTTTCTAGGATTTTGGGTTTATTCTTTTCACTGTGCCTACGATATAGATATCTACCTAATAATATAATGAGGACTATTGTTGTGCCAATTCTAAAAAATAAAACTGGGAACATATCGGACATAACCAACTTCGGAACTATATCGTTGGCTACAATATTAGCAAAGGTACTGGACGGTCTACTTGATGCGTATTTAAGAAAATATTTGTAGCTACACGATGCTTAAATGGTTGCCGGACTGGGCTTTCAACAGAGAGTGCCATCTTGGCTCTTAAGCGAACCGTTGAGTACTACACGGACAGAAAAACACATGTGTATGCCATTTTCTAGACTTTTCAAAAGCCTTTGATATGATGTCCTATTAAATATTGTGGAGTAAGTTAAGGAAAACCGAGATACCTGCTGAACTTGTAGTAATATGGGCAGATACGTTTTCCGATGCGTACAGGCTAGAATATGGGGTGAGACAAGGGGGTTTAAGCTCACCGAACCTGTTCAGACAGGCTGAACAGGTAACATTAATGACTTAATCGGTGAGTTGAGCAGCATGTATATCGGATGCTATGTGGATGAAGTATGTTTAAACAATTTAAGTTACACAGATTATATGGTGCTGCTCGCCCCGTCTGTTAGTGCTCTTAGAAAATTGTTACTCATTTGTGAGGATTATGCTATTAGATATGCTTTAGTATACAATTCTAAGAAAAGCCAGTTAATAATATTTAAAGTTGGAAAAAAGTGTCCAAAGAATGTGCCTCCTATTTTGCTTAATGGTACTGCCTTAGGAATATTTTTATACGTGGTAGAGCCATGCTGCAGTTATATTAGAAGTAAAGTTGTAGCACGAATGAGTCGGCTCGGTCGAAAGGACCACGCTCTCACAGAATACCAGCTTGAAATAGCAGCTTAATGCTGCTGTGTTTCGTATGGTGAGCGTAGAGAACCGGAGATCCTTTTTACTGGAAACGAAGCATTCCGTCTTAGTCCTCACGGGTGACAACGCATCTGTATTTTGATTTGTAATCGAGGATAGATGCAGATGTCTATGGGCCACAGCAACCACTTACCATCAGGTGGACTGTGTGCTCGTTTGTCACCCAATCGTATAAAAAAAGGAAGATTAAAAGAGTTTAAATATCTAGGTCACTACATTACTGAAAATTGTAAAGATGATGTGGAAATCGAAAGGGAGCAAAGGGCACTGTTCGTCCGTGGAAATATGTTAATTCGTAGGTTTGCGCGGTGCAGCAAGGAAGTCAAGATTACACTTTTTATATCCTACTGTCAATCTCTTTACGCGTGCAACTTATGGACAACGTATACAAAGCGCGCTTACAGTAACCTTCGTGTTTTATATAATAACATTTTATTTAACGTTAATTTGGGCCCTATTGTTTGCAGAAACACGAACCGATGAACTCTTTACAATAATGCGTAAAAGAGTGTCCTCGCTGTTGAACAGAATGCATGGCAGCCGCAACAGTGTTATGAACGTGTTCGCCGAAAGTTGTGACGGGCATATGCTAGATCATTGGAACGATTTGTTAAAAAGTGATCACACATATTTAAAGAACTAACATTAGTATTTAAGGTGCGCAATGTAGTACTAACAACTTATATGGATCTATGTCTAAAATAAAAGAGTTATTATTATTATTATGCGACTTAAATCGTCATTCAATTCTTGTATTGTATCAATACTTTCACTAGGTTTGAAGGAAATGTATAGCTGTACATCGTCAGCATATATATGGAACTTGCAGTTTGTTATGCATTTTGAAATATCTGCACTATATAAAGCAAAAATCAATGAGCCTTGCGGGACCCCTCTCGCAACATCAGAACATTCGGAAACTATTCTAGAGCCGTTATTATCCGTCACTTCGACACTCTGCCTGCGATCACTAAAGTAACTAACAAACCAGTCGACTGTATCGGAACTAAACCCATAAGACTTAAATTTTGCTAATAGGAAACGTCAATTTATAGTGTCAAATGCGGGGGAATAGTTCAAAAGTACTAAAATAGTAGCCTTACCAGAGTTATGTGTATTATCAACAACATCGGCTAAGGCTGTTGTACTACGATGCTGTTTCCTAAAACCGGATTGAAGTGTTTTAGGATGTTATTCAAGTTTAAGTGATGCGTTAGTCGGTCACAGACAATTTTTTCTAAAATTTTAGATATACACGACAGTATCCGGCACAAATGAAATTTACAATAGCAATATTAAGTACTGATTTACTACGTACTCGGCGGTGAAGGAAAACATCGTGAGGAAACCTGTAGGTCTGAGAAATAAAAAAGAAATTTGAAAACATGTGAAGTTCGCCAACACGCATTGGGGCAGCGTGGCGGACTATTCCTTGCCCTAAAACCCTCTCAGAAATGAGAGGAGGCCTGTGCCCAGGAGTGGGACGTATTTAGGCTGTAACTTTAACTTACTTTAACGGCAGTATCCTTATTGGCCGCAAATTCTTAAAGTCCGTAATATTCACTTTTTTGGGAATTGGTCTTACTAACGTTATTTTCCATATACCATTATATACATCATTATAGATGTTTAGAATATTAATAAACACTTGTTTTGTTTTGGGACTCTCACTCAACAGATTGCAAAAGCTTATTACGTTTCGATAAATTTAAAATGTTATTTTAATCATACTTTCTTACTTTGAAACAGTAAACACAAGTGTCACTTTTTATTGCTAATTTGAACAGAATTATACTGTCTGTATGTATAAAACTACGCTTAATTATTTTATAAGCCCAAATTAACAAAACATGTATGGGCTACCCGCCGTGTCCACACGCAAACTGAAGAAGAAAAAAGAAAGAACGTCGAGAATGGCTGTATCTCTGACGTTTACTCAAGCTTCACCAATTTTTACCACGAATAATTGCACAGAATCTCTAACATTCACAACCTAAGAGTCAATCCAAAATTAAATAAGTCACAAAAAATAAGGCGCAGAAACGCTGAGCTGGGGTTACCAATGTGATCAGAAAATTGCAACTTAAGGAAGCAAGAAAAAAATATAATCAAAATGAACCTTCTAATCATCGTAAATAGCTAATTATCAGAAAAAATACCCTAAAGTTCACCTGTTGTTCAGGCTGTCGTTGATTATCAGCGGGAACACCCTGAAGTACATAGGCAGTCTGCAAGTAAATATCGGTGCAAGCACCTTGAAGTGTACAGAGTATTACAGATGTGATATGAACAAAATCATGAAGGACGGCGAGTCGAAAGACGTCTACAACCTTGAAACTCTAAATCCTTTTCTGGACTGAATTAGCATACGGTAGTTAGTAATAGTACTGTTGTTTTGGGACCGATAAACATCGAATGCAAGTGGTGTAACACTCAAGTATAAGGATGAATCTGTAGGAATTTGCTGTGATCCAGGAAAGGTCGAGCTCGAACCTTTTCAAAATCTTCCAGATCTTCTTTATCGTTTGATAAAAACCTACGCCTTGAGCAAGATCACTTTATGGCTTGCATACAGCATTATAATAGTTGTTTTCAAATGACCTCATTTGGAACTAAAAAGACAATACAGGATGGTTTTATTACATTCAAAGTGCCTACATTCAAAGTGTAAGGCCAGGTGTAACATTTGGTTCGAAGTTTGCTTCCGCAACCCCAGAACGAACTACAGTTCATAGAGATATACGAGGGTGGATTGAAAAGTACTCGGCCTAACCAAGAAAATAAACACATACTAAATCAGTTATATTTTTATTTTTTCTACATAATCACCATCAAGTTCAATACACTTTTGCCACCTCCCCTTCCAAGCATTTAGACCGTTGAAAAAAAATGATTCTTCCTTAGAGTCAAAATATGCGTCTACAGCTGCTTTGACCTCGTCGTTTGTCGAAAATCTTTGACCTCCCAAGTGCTTTTTTAGGTTAGGGAACAGAAAGAAGTCTGATGGTGCCAGATCAGGTGAATACGGCGGATGCGGTAACAGTTCAAAGCCACAGTTGTGAATTTCAGCCATTGATTGTACTGACGTGTGAACACGGGCGTTATCTTTATGAAACAGGACTTTTCTTCTGAGCATTCCTCGACGTTTTTCTTTTATTTCCTCTCGTAAACGACGTAGTAAGGTGCAGTAGTAATCAGAGTTTATAGTCTGACCCCTTTCAAGATAATCAATCATAATCACACCTTTCGAGTCCCAGAATACTGAAGCCATCACCTTATTTGCCGACAAAATCGACTTAGCCTTTTTAGGGGGTGGTGAACCAGGTCTTCTCCACTGTTTTGATTGTTGTTTTGTTTCCGGTGTACAGTAATGAACCCATGTTTCGTCCATAGTAACAAAACGATTCAAAAAATCATCTGCATCGGCTTCAAATAACTCCAAACAGTCGCGTGAAATAGTCAATCGCGTCCTTTTTTTGTTCAACTGAAAGCAGTCGCGGAACCCACCTCGTAGACACCTTGTGGAAACCCAATTCGTTGACAATGATGTTTTGAGTTCGTTCATAAGAGATGCCTATAATCTCAGCTATCTCTCTAATTTTTAATCTGCGGTCTCCAATTATTAAATCAAGTATTTTTTTAATATTTTCGTCAGTAGTTGACGTCGAAGGCCTTCCAGAGCGGGGTTCATCTTTCACACTCTCTCTACCACGCTTAAATTCTGCTATCCACTTTTTGACGTATGAATATGACAGAGCACAATCGCCTAATGTACTGACCATGTCATCATGGATGGCTTTTGATGATAGCCCCTTCTTATGGAGGTACTTAATGACGGCACGCTGCTCGATTTGCTCCATTCGCGGAAATTATGTCCGATTACTTTGTTAATAAATTTATAAAATCACAACTAATTATCGCACACGTTTCGAACTTCACACAATGAACTAGTCTGAACTGAACTAAATAATGTGGGTAGATTTGATTTTTAGAATTGAATGGATCTGTGTTAGGCCGAGTACTTTTCAATCCACCCTCGTATTTTATTGAAAAGGACGATAGAAAAGTTTAATTGAGATGTAGGTTTTACATAACTTTCGTTATGTAAAACCTGCCTTGGCATGGCAATGACAAGAAATGCTACATACTCATAATGTATACGTAAAAGAGTTAAAGATTACCCAGGACAATATATCTCCTACGCCAAATACATTTAAATTTGTTATAAATGCCGAAATAAAGCCTACAATTGGCCACAATGGACGATATAATCAACCTACGTCAAACGAAATGTCTTTAGTTATTATAACACATTGCATCATAGAGCCATGATAACACATTGCATCGAATAAGTGAAATTCATCGCTCATACGATGTATTACAGTATCCACTTTTGTTTTGCTACGGCGAGAATGAATACTCTATTTGTATACCCCAGTACGATCCTAAGACCAAACAACTGCTTAAAAAAATTGTATCCGCTGCAAGGTTTTCATGTTATTGTTTAATGATTAGGAAATGAGAAGATAATCATGTGCTGTATTTTCGTCCGCTGTTTAGCCAGTTTTTAGTTGACATGTTTGCGAAAATCGAGGCGGATAGGTTGAGTTATAATAGGAACAATCAGGCGCAGCTTAGAGCGGACACTTATATACACTTACAAGATGCGATAGGGAAAGAGGACGTTGATGCTGATCAGCTGGGTCAAAAGATGGTGCTGCCTTCTTCTTTTTCTGGGGGGCCATGCTATATGCATTAGGGGACACAAGACGCCATGACATATGTGCGGCACTACGGTCATCCCGATCATCTCCTTATAACGTTTTATGTGAGCGTGCCATCCTAACACCAAAAAACGAAAAAGCCTCAGTCATAAATGAAATACTTTTGAGATCATTCGAAGGGTTCGAATATCAATCAATATAAATCCATCAACACAGTGGTAAACACCGATGTTGCCATTCATTATTAGAGTACCTAGAATACACTAAAGCCTTCCGGTCTTCCAACTCACATATCAAATTGAGAGTTAGCGCGCCAATTATTTTGCTGCGCAATAAAACTCCACCAAAATTATGCAATGGCACCAGATTGCAAGTGAAAAAATTGCATCGCAATTTAATCGAGGCAAATATACTGATAGGTTGTTCTCGAGGAGAGTCTGTATTTATTCCTAGGATTCCCCTCACACGATCAAATTACCCCTTTAAATTCAAGAGAGTGCTGTTTCTCATCAAAATCTGCTTCGCCATAACTATAAACAAAGGTCAAGGTCAAAATCTTAAGGTAGTGGGAGTAGAGTTGAGAGAAAGCTACTTCTCCCTCGGTCAGTTGTATGTGTCAGCTCCAGAGTAAACGCACAGAGTAGCCTGGTGATTTTAGCACCCTAAGGAAAAACAAAAATTTTGTTTACAAATAAATACTACGGAAGGTGTAGTATTTCGATATACTTTGTAAAAAGATAATACCCCCGTTTCATTTTCACCAGATCAAAGGCCGAGATTCGTGTTCATAAAATATACAAAAATTTTATTTTATTTTCATGGTTATTTTACATTTAAATCCCTACACTATAATAAATATTATTATATTTTATAAGTTGAATACTATATTATATAACATTTTAACATAATAATGTATATATTATAATAAAATTAATAACGCAAAAAACCAATTAAAATCCTATTGGACCTATTTTCTTCTACGCGGACGAAGTCGCGGACAAAAGCTACACATTTAACATATATTATACTTTATTCAACATATATATAATAACATATAAAATAATTTGTATGTTTAATATATGTTGAATTCTTTTATAATAATTTAGCTTTGTATTTGACCTCTTTGTTTGTAAATTCGTTTTTTAACATTTAGCTTTATTTAATAAAAAATGCAACAAAAAGTGTTAATAAAATCATTTACTTCAAACAACAGCTTATTCGTACTCTATATAAAAGCTAGGATAGTGAGATGAGCGACTTTTTCACGAATTTTATGCAAGTTAGTTCATTCTTGAATATGTATTTATCTAAGAGGGAAGTAAAAACGGTTGACGAAGAAGAAATATAAAAAAGGATATCAACTAAAATCAAACATCCAAATTACCTGGGGATCGACACCAAGAGTTAGAGGCAGTATCGGTAACAGTGTTAAATGATTTAAAATTCCAAGTTGATATGTCGTAGCAATTACTGTTTACTGAAGTGCCAAGCATAATAAGGGGTTCATTAAGTATGTATCCATTATCAGTATACAGATTGCAATTCAAGTACTGAATAACACCTCCTGCATTCACCCCTACCTGAAATCATCAAAAAATAATTACAAAATGAAAAGACAGTATTTCGGTGACAAAATAAAAGTATAAAAATTGTATTCTTAAAACCCGAAGACTTCCTTCATAAAGTTTTACAGGACTGGAAATTAACAGACTGCTTAAGCATCATCGCTTTGCATCGATTCGCATCGATTGCTTATTAATTATCATCGGTTAACGCTCGCTGTAAATATAACAGAACGCGAGTAACCTGGGTTCGATTCCCGCCGGCACCAATGAAATTGTTAATTGCAATTTTAAGTGCTGATTTACAGATTTTTAGTGGTGTAGTACTTTATTTTTAATGGTGAAGGAGAACATCGTGAGGAGACCTGCATATCTGATGAATAAGAAAAAAAAATATTTCGAAGACATGTGAAGTTAGCCAACACGCATTGGGGCAGCGCGGCGGACACTTCCTTGCCCTAAAACCCTCTCAGAAATGAGGCGAGGCCTGTGCCCAGCAGTGGGACGTATATAGGCTGTAACTTTACTTTAGCTTTTTACTTTTAATCATCATCATCATCATAATCTTCATTACAGCCACTCACAAGTCCACTGCTGAACATAGGCCTCCCCCAATGAATGCCACAAAGCGCGGCCTCGAATCACCTGTATCCATTTTCTTCCTGCATTTCTTAGCAGTTCGTCACTCTATCTAGTGGCGGGTCGCCCTACACTTCGCCTACCGGTAAGAGTCTGTCCATCGGTTGTCCATCCCCCCATGTGCAATGACACAGACTGCATACGTCTCATTATTTTTTTTATAGGAGAAGGGTGACAAACGAGCATACTGACCACTTGATATTAGGTGATTGCTGTGGCCCGTAGACATCTACATGTATGCTTAATTACAAATCAAAATGCATATATGTTGTCACTCACAAGACTAAGGTGGAGATGAGGTATTCCGGATAAGACAAGTTGAAATACCTTGTTTCCAGTAAAAAAGGGTCTCCAGTTCTCTACACTCACTATACGAAACACAGCAGCTGCTATTTTATGCTGGTATTCTGTGAAAGCGTGGACTGTCTCTGTGAAAACCGATCATCTAGTGGTCCAACTACACTACAAATATAGCTATATCATTGCTCTACAACGTCAAATTTATTGGGTAAATGGGTCTCATTTAAGGGAATTTACCAATAAACGATGGCTCCGTGGCGTAGAGACTTGGCATAGATTTAGTGCAAATGAGTTCGAAATTCTTTTGCTTACTCAAATAACTAAAAAGTACAGGGTAATAAGTATGGACAATTTTTTTCAGTAATGTGCAACTGAAATGACCCTTACCCAAAAATTTAAAAATAAAAATTCGTATCAACTTTTGGGCGTTATTTCGAAACGCCACTTACTTGTTTGGTGTATACTGCAGGTACACTTAAGTTTAATTTACTTATTATCAATAAGATATTCAACTGGCTTATTACGCTCTTTTTTCATTACAATCAGCCCTTAATAACCACTTCTGAACATGACAGTCGGATTCACGATCATAGTACCAGATATTGCCATTCTTTGTCTGTCTGTCGCTGGTCAGGGTATTTTACGTCTAGCATCAGTTATTAAGTACCTCAAACTCTGTGACACACGGCAATCTTTTTCCAACAGCTCTGGTGTTAGTTCTCAAAGGCTGAATAAACCGACATGGCCGATTTAATTTAAGAGCCGTTAAATTTGCTGCTAAAGCTCCTTGAATTATTCTAGAAATTTTATAACCATAAGCGCCGCCAACTCGACGAACATATACGTCCACTCTAAAATTAAAAGGATCTATCACAGAGGATACTTCTTAAAATAAGTAAAAGAAAGTTCGTGATAAAACAAGCTATTAGAATAAAGCTAACAATAAAATCCATACGTAGAACTAACCTGTTTTCATCAATATTTAAAGCACGAGATGTCATAATTTGTATTCCTTCTGTATATTGTGTAGCTGCATGAACTTCTAATCCTTCTTCTATTGGTACTCCAATGCTGGTCAAAGTTTCCATACAGAAATGATACTGTTGATATATAGCCATGGATCCATTTATTACTTTTGCAACATCTAAACCTCTTTTTGTTGCTACTTTAGATGAATAAAGACTAATTCTGTTCGGTTCATTCTTAGCTTCCCTTACATCTAAAATCGGTTTTCTTATATTACTGTAGGAAGCGACTACTAGTTTTGCGGCCCTATCAGCGATTTGTTGCGTTTCTGCTACAATCATTCCAATTGGCTGATTTTAATATTTCACTTCACCGCTGCAAAATATCTCTTCATTGGACAAAAATATTTTTTTACCGGCTGGTGTAAAAGAATTTAAACCAGGTACATCTTTTGCAGAATAAAAAGCTATCACACCAGGTTCTTTCTGAAATGGACCACATGCGTAAAATAAACACCACTCTTATTCATATCAAATTTGTATAAAAAATTAGTATTAAAGACAAATATAAAATTATTTTACAAAGTATTGTATGGTGTAACCATATCAAAGTAATTTATACTCCCATTAGTTTAAGGAAGTTTTAAGGTAGGTGAAGAAAACGAGGTTTGTATTTTTAGGCTAAATTAACAAAATAGATGTGATATATTTTTGATTAAATTGATATTTCCATAAATTAATAACAATTACTGAAATATTCTTACCAAAGCTTTACTCGTATCAATAAAATCTATAGTCCCAACAGGTACTGTGCTCAATACAAATGATATAAAAACTTCATTTTTAAAAGGCGGTATATCATCTGTATACACAGCCTCGCCAGAACACTGGATCTAAAAAAATATGTGCCAATTCTACTGATTTAAAATATATTACGATGTCTTTTTTCATTCAAATATCGTTGGTCGAAAACAGTAGTGGAACATCTCTGAAAATTTGGTTTTTAACTTTTCAAGAGTCAGCCAATTCTATATCAGTATCGGAATAAGTCAAACTCCACATAGAAGTCAATTAAAAATAAAAGTTCCACTTCTAGTCTGTGCATATAGTATTATTGAGTATTGGGAAATGTTCCAATACGGTTCCAATCTCAAAATCAAAAGTTGTATTATATTTATTCCACCACGCTTCTCGATCTCGCTCGAGTCTCGCGCGCGTTTGTTTAGTTTTAGTTACGCGCTGCATGCTGCGCTTGGTAGACGTATTGTCAAAAGCTCAAAAGTAATACAATCTGCAAAAGTGTCTGTGTCTAAGTTATATGGAAGATCAATGAAAATGTTGCAAATGGTAATCCATGAAGACGTCAATATTGAAAACAAGGGTGTGTATTCTATTTGTAACGTTTGTGTATTTTGTAAAGAGTCGTTACTTTTAAAATTTTGCACGCTTTGGCTATATTTTTAACCACCTTTATTCTACAGAAAGTGAGATAAAGCAAGTTGAAGAGGATTCTTTGCCACAAAATGAAGTATAAAATATTGGTGTATATAAAATATAAAATAATTTGTATATTAATATAATATAAAATAATTGGTGTATATAAAATAGTATAAAATATAAAATATTATGTGTTTTATAAGATATGCTTATTTATTAACTTTTGTGTTTTATATCTAATACATGTTATTAAACATTCTGGCCTATTAACTGCTTTTATTGCTTTTAAGATGATGAACAGACATTGAACATAGAAAAATATCCATGCACTATTTTTACATCTAATAATAATGAAGTTGGTGAGATACAGCAATATGTTGAAGAGAATTCTTTGCCCCTGAATGTAGTATATAATCAAGGTACGTACCTATCTTCATGTATTTAAGTACATAATAGAGGTACCTACGTACCTATCTGCATATATTATTTTTGTGTTTTGGTATAGTGTGTATATTTATTTAATATATATAAATAATAATTTATGTTATATATATATATATTTAACTGTTTGAATTTCTTTTAAGGTGTTGAGCAGGCAATAAATATGGAAAGTTGTACAGACGATAGGTTCGTAGCCAGCTAGCATGAGCCAGCAAATGAAACTTCTAATCTAAGTATGATTTTTTATACTATTTTAATAAACTAGCTTGCTGCCCATCAACATGTATTTCATAGTTCTAAATTATTTACGCATTAGCATTATACGAGGTCTTAGTTTGCTTAGGTGGTGAGCTAATAAAGAAAAGAGAGAAGAGAAGATAAAAAAATAATATATATACTAAATAACAGAAAGCTGTCACCATCAACCCCGTTTTCTAAAAATAATGCTTCGGAAGAAAAGAAGAAGTTGACAAGAAAGAGACAACGAAATCCCGAGGCATGGAAGAAAAATAAAAAGGAATGTTTAAAAAATTCAGGTATGGTTTACACTACTGAGAAAGGAAAATTAGTTAATGTTAAACAACTAAAACCTGGTTGTGGAGACAAATGTCAGTTGAAGTGTACACTGAAGATTAATGAGCAGCAAAGATTATCAATAATTTTTGGATATTAGGTGATTTGAATAGACAGCGAGATTTTGTCAAAAATGCTATGAAAGAAGTAAAGCCGAAATATTCGCTACATAATGCTCAGAGTAAAAGATCTACTCGTATTAATGCGGCTCATCATTTAACAGCAGATGGTATAATTATAAGGGTATGTAGAAAGTTCTTTATGCACACTTTGGATATTGGGCACTCATTTATAATGACGTTATGTAAGAAAACAACAACATCGGGTATAGTTTTAGAAGATTTAAGAGGTAAGCATAACAAGAAAGGTAAACTATTACCTGAATTTGTTAAGGATGGAGTACGTGAACACATAAACTCATATCCTACTAAGGAATCGCATTACTGTTAAGCATCATCAAATAAACAATATTTTGATGGTGATTTAAATCTATGTATGATGTACAGGCAATACAAAGAGTGGTGTAATAAAGAAGATAAGCCTGAAGCTAAACAAGGAACGTATGTAATATAGCTTTTCATGTACCAAAGAAGGATCAGTGCTCTCTTTGCTGTTCTTACAATAATGCAACAACAGAACAGAAACAAGAAATGGAAAAGAGTTATAAAGATCATCTTACAGAAAAAGAGCTTTGCGGAGAAGAGAAGGGGATATATATAGAAACATGCAAAAATGACAAACAGAAGTTTTGTTGCTGCAGTGTTCTTCAAACTCCAGGAGGTAATGACTCGCTATTTTTTTATGAGAGACGCCTTAATGTTTATAATTGTACCGTATATGACATCGTTAATAAATATGGACATTGTTATTTATGGGACGAAACTTTGGGTGAAAAAGGATGTGACGAGGGTCTATATAGGATCTTGTATTTTACAGTTTTTCAAAGAGTTTTGTCATGGAAAACATGATATATTTTATACTGACAATTGCTCAGCACAAAATAAGAATAATTATTTATTGTCATTATACTATTATACCTTTAAAATCTTGGGTGTGAAATCTATAACACATAAATACTTTGTTGTCGGGCACACTCAGAACGAAGGCGATAGCGTTCATGCCACTATTGAAAGATAAAAATACCGAATATTAAAAAATCGTTCCGTGTTCGTGCCATCTCAATGGAGGACAATTATACAATGTGCTAAGAAGAAATGTAATCCCTACCAAGTTCATGATTTAGATTATTCAGACATTTTTGATTTAAAAGAACTAATTTCACACTTTGGGAAAAATTTTACAATAAATACAGAAGGAGAGCGTGTAGTGTGGAATGATATCAAGAAAATATTTATGCAAGCTACTAATCCTTTCGCTATTTATTACTTGGATACTTATCAACCTGACAGTACAATGAAATGCTTCAATGTTCGGCATAAAATGCGGGGCAAGCCTAACGAAACATTAGTTTTGACAAATAAATATCGCACTCTTCCTGGAATATAAAATTTTAAAAAGAAAGATTTGATTTCATTATGTGATGGTAAAGTAATTCCAAGCGTTTATTGGGATTATTATAAAACATTGCCAGCTTCCTCAGATAGAGCTGACGGTGACTAATTGTTCCCTTTTTATATTTTCTTACTTATAAATAAAAAAAATGTTATACAACTATAAAGTGTTTTATTAATTATTCTCTAAAAATGCAATTATTTGCTAAGGTTCGCTAGATTTCATTTTTATTTAGGTCATTATTTAAGAAAAATACATAGTTTTTAATTCAGTACTGGTACATTCAAAAATAATCCATTATCAGAGGTATATTTGCAGTCAATAAATTAATTTAGTAGTGGAACATTTCAAATATTTACTTATACTTAAAAAACAAGCACAACTTGTAAACTTCACAAACTTGTAAACTTTATTTTTGTGTTGTTAAGAAATATTTTAGGGAGTTATTTTATTAGAAATTATTTTATCAACGTATTAATAATAAAATTTTAATTTAATGCGATATTTTCATGAAAAAGAATGATATTTATAAATACATTACTATTTTTAAAAGTTTAATCATTTGGATTTTCAACATTATTTTCATCAATTTTATAGAACACCATGACGGTAACGCTAGTTCAGTGCTTTTTCCCCATCTTAAAAGTATCCAACGTGAAAAACTTAAGAAGTTTTCGCTTCAAAAAATGTAAATAGCAAGAATGTGATTGAAACTTACGTATATATGAAAGGTAACGTGATCATTTTGTTAATTTAATGTGGCCGTACTCTTTTTGCGGCAAAAACTGAACAGTTTAGCATTTTTGTAATACGTCGATTCAACCACGCACTAGATTTAGTTTAGTGTGCAGTGCGGCTGCAAGTAGTTTTGGCCGGCAGGCTGAACAAACGAGCACACAGTCCACCTGGTGGTAAGTGGATGTTGTGGTCCATGGGCATCTACATCTAGAAATACTCGAATAAGAATCAAAATGTAGATGCGCTATTTCCCTTGAAGACTAAAATATAATGTCTTGTTTTCAATAAAAAGGGCTTCCAGTTCTCTACACTCACCATACGAAACAAATTAGCATTAAATCCCTATTTTACGCTGGTATTATGTGACATTTTTGGAATCGCTTTTCTCACGAATACGTTTTATGGCTTCAGGAAAAAACAAAATGGTGCCACTCCACGGGTAGGGGTCCATGGTTCTTATTAAGAACAAGGCGACTCCTCCTTGTTGCCGGGCACGGACGGCATCTTTCGGGTTGCCGACATTCTCACACGCAAAGGAGTCGTCCGTAGAGCATTCAACACCATCGTCCCGTTACCGTAGCTGTTGCGGTTGAAGACGCTTCAACGGGGGGAGTATGTTCAGATCACTGAACGATATTTAGGTGAGAGAAGCAGTAAAACCGGTTTGCAGGCGGCCGCGATCGGCTTGGAGTGGAGCGGTAGTAAGCGAACGGACCTGACACCGACAGTACGCGTGGACGCTCATATAATATTTTAATTTAAACCTACTGTAAATTTAGTTCCCTATTATACCAGTTTTTATATAAATTTGCAGTCATTTTATTTAGTACTACAACATCGAGAACAAACAATGTATCAGATGCAACGCACCTCGATGCTGTTGACCGTTGCTGGTCTGGGTATTTTACGTCACGCCTAAACCAGATCATTATCTCGCCATACGATTTTTAAGCATTTTTTCTAGCATTCTTGTGGATAATATGGTAAGAGGCAAATTACGAGTCCTGCCAGATGAAATGAGGTGATGGATTCTATTAAGCCACCACAACACAGCAAAATTCATTAATGATAAGAAAAAGTTTTGTTAAAAAATTTGGGCAGGAGTATAAATTTATCCCTACATTAGAGCATGTCAATCCTATGTGCAAGTCAAGCAACCACGGAGTTTTTTATTTTATTATTTAAAGTTTTTATCAAGAAGTTGTTGCTGGCCATATCTCTCCATCGCCTCTCACGACACGTACGAGATGATATGCAGTAATGAATTTTCTTTCGCTGCCTCTTACACGACAATTGTCAGCGAAAGAATTGAAATAGCGGATATAAAAATAATTAAGAATAGAACGGATATAGAAAACGTGTTATAAGAGTAGAAAGCAAATCCCAAATCTATAAGTGCCTGTTTTTGATGTCAAAATAATTACTTACCTAGTAATTATAACAAAATACCACTTTTAATTCCTGTTTGTACGGGCTTATTTCCGTAATGCTAAACTAATTTTGACGGGACTTTCTCTAGCAGATAGCTGATGTTGTAAGGATTATCTTAAGTTCTTCTAATTTTAATAAAATAATTGGGGTTCCGGGCAAAAAAAAATATACCAATCATGATAAACATCTAGTTTAAAATATAAAATTAAGATCTTGAAACTTACCAACGCTTCTATTTTCGGAATAGGTTTTGTAAGAGGCCACAATGATGGATTCGTTTCAAAAAATTGACTTGCCTGACTGACTGGTCGAGTATCATGTACTATTGTCCCTGCAGATCTATATCTTGAACCAATTATATTAGCAGGACATAGACAAAGTAAGCCCTGCATTAAAACAAAATGTTAATGGTGAATTAAAATAATTTTTTTTTCGAGTATCTGTAAAAACTGAACTTTTTCCTTAAAATTTTAATACCAGTTTGAAACTACACGAAATTACATAATGACAATCAATGTACAATTTTGTATTATTAACTTTTTTTAGAACAAGAATCATCAGGGGTTTTATAATCTGGAATTACTCTGGACTGAAGGATGACAGAAATACTCTTTCCTCGGAATACGGAAGTCACGTTACAGGTGACTAATGAGTCTTATTAATAATCATAGACGGAGATATTTTTCTAAAAAATAAGGGTAATAAACGAGAACAAATTCCACCTGATAGTACCCTCGATTAAGAATCAAAACAAAGATGAATTGTCACCCCTGACGACTAAGATAGAAAACCTGGTATACGGTGAAAAGGGTCTCCGGTGTAGTAAGTGTAGAGACACTCACCATACAAGATACATTAGGTTGCTATTTTACGCTGGTATTATCGAATGGCCACTTCCCTGTACTAATCAATGTGAAACTAATTGGTACCTATTTGAGGTTATAGCGGTTTTTATAGAAGTAATTACAAGGGTGACCAATTTGCACGCAGTCGAGCACGAGTTGTATGTTGATGCCATAGCTCCAAAATAAGAACGAGGATCAAGGTCAAATGTGCAAAACATCTAGTACTGCAATTGTCAATCTGCCTATCAAGCGTGATGATTAAAGCAAATCCCCCCTTCAGTAGGATAGGCTCATATCCAATAATGAAATTTATGGTGATTAAAAAAGAAGAAGAAATAGCAACACATCTGAATTCCACCACAGGACACTGCGACGGAACTCAAAATTCTATACTCATAATTTCGATGAGTATCGGTCCCCTATTGTGCAAATTATGAGAATTATTCTGTAACGCATAACTATACCATGGCATTTAATGTCGTCAGCGGTTTACATAATGATTTCTTATATTTACGCAAACACTACACATTGAAATAATACTAGTTTTTACGGAATTTATCGCGTATATTTAACTTTTTAAATACCCGACTGTTTAGGCCGGATTTAACGTTTGGCGGCCTGCGACGGCGCTCGGGTCGAGCGGGAGGCGAGCCTGACGGCTGAGGCGCGGGGGGTGCGGGCTGGTGCGGCGTCCGGCCGCGCCGGCGTCGGCGTTTTGCGGGTCACTTGCCGCAGAGCGTGGAACTGAGTAGTTACGCGTCGTGTTAATAGCTTAGTCGCCCGCTGCCTCTGACGCCTATACTTCGCGAACCTGAGTTGTTTGCAACGCGGCCCGGTGATATTGCATTTTTCACAAAGGTCGAGTTTGTTGTAACGCGAGTTCGGTTAAATCTTGTTGGATTTTATTGGATTAACCTAATGACAATTGACTTGACTCCAATTAACAAGTGAGAAACGTGTGTAATTTCCTAGATTCTTAAATTTTTGTGACGGACTGCCACTTCGATATAAAGAATAAAGGTGAAGCCTTGGGATCGGCGGTTCTGCAACCAGCGGGAAGTCAGGTTACATAATTTAACACAATCACAACACAACACAGTCAAGCACGCCCACACTTACACCTGAATCTTCCTAGGGTTGACCCTACTTCGAAGAAATAGGTAAGTTTTGTTTGGTTCCCTTTTTTACCGCTAACGTGTAATATTCCACAAGCCATTTAGGCCGACCTCCTGTTACTCGTCGAGTGGAACCCCTGATGGGCCCGGGTCCCACGACCTTGCCCGGGTAACTAGAGGCCGTAACATTTGGTAGCAGAACGTGGTTTTCCTGATGGGTTTTGAAACCACTCCCAGCTCAATACGTAACATTTTGGTAGGAGTAGCGTAGTCTCCCAGCGCAATACGTAAGTTGGTAGCAAGATAGCGGTTGTAACCACGTGGCTGCTGGTTGTGTTTGTTGCAATACGTAATAATAATTTGTTTTATTCGCTTGTTATTTGTTAGCATAGGATCGGTGTATAGAACCGTGTAGTAATCGTATTTTTTGAGTTTTTTATTTACTTTATCTGGTCGCTTACTTTGTTAAGTGTTAGAATTGAGCCACGCCCGTAAGCCGTGGTGATAAGAAATTAATTGCGTAGTATAATTTACTGATTGGATAAATAGTATTTTGTATTGTATTATTTTTATTGTGATAATTAAACTAATTGTGTAAAGTAATTTGTACTAAATTTAAATTAAAGTAATTTGTACGGTGATAATCGTACCTTGTAATGATGCCTTCACACCGGTCACCGACGCTTCGCTTACAAGCGGAACTGCGCTGGGCTGCGAATGCTCACAGCTTGATAGGGAGACCAGATAGAATCCATAGCTTGGAGAAGCGGCTCGAGCAAGTCATGGCCCGAAGGGCCGTAGTGGAGGAGGCATGCTCCGAGATTATGGCTTCGGGAGCGGAACAGGGAGTCCTAGACTCCTGTCTTTCCGACTATGAGCAATTTTTTGCTCTCACGGATGACCTGATTGAGGCAGGGGCCAAGCAGGCTAGTGACGCGCGTGAAGCTCGGCTGGGTGTCCTGCTCGAGTCCCCTCGGAAGCAGCCCACTCACCCGGAGCTGTTGGGACGACTTCCCACTCTGGACCTGCCAAGGTTCTCCGGGGTCCTCTCCGAGTGGTTAACGTTTGTGGGACTTTTTGACAGCCTGGTGGATGCCCGGAGGGATTTAACACCAAGCCAGAAGATTGCGTATCTCCTGGCCTCATTAGAGGGGGAGGCCTTGGGCGTCGTCGGCCATTTGAAGGTGTCGGACGACGCCTACCTGAACGCTCGGGACCTCCTGGCCGGAAGGTATGCCAACGTACGGCGAATTGCGGACGAGCACGTCAAACTCCTGTTGAACCTCCCGCTGCTAAAGGACCGGGTCCGACTACGACCGGACATCGTAAATCCGGTCTTGGTGGCCTGCAACTCGTTGAGACGGCTGGATTTGCCGGTGGACGAATGGTCCTTTTTGTTGCTCCATATTGTGCTGTCCCGCCTACCTCTCGATCTTCGACTCCATTTTGAGGAGAGGTACGGCGGAGACGGCGCCTCCTATATTCCTCCCTTTAGTGATCTGCTGCGGTTCTTGGAGGAGCAGTGCCGGCAGATCGAAAACGCAGCGGGCACCGCCGAAGATCTACGGACTGCTAACCGAACCGTGACCAAGGAAAGGCGAAACCCCCCCGGCCAAGTCGTTGTCAACCCCCCTCAGACCGAGTGGTGCTCCTGCGGGAGGGCGCCCCCTCCTATCATCTTATAGTGGCCTAGTGGCCAGGAAGGCGCCCCCCTGCTCCTATTGTAGAGCAGCAGAACACCGGGTGACGTCGTGCCCTAAGTTATTAGGCAAGCCTGCCTCAGCGAGACGAACCATCGCCAGGGAGCGCCGCTGGTGCTATTCATGTTTAGAAAGGCACCTCCAACGAGACTGCCCGCACCAGCGGCCCTGTCCGCACTGCCAGGGCAAGCACCACGCCGTTTTGTGCCTGGGCGCGAACGGCTCTTTCTCTCGGGGCTCTGCCGGGCCCTCATCCCCCACGGGCGGGGGCGCCCAGCCACCCCCTCTGACAGGTGACGCTCGTCGCTCTCCTACCGACGACCCTGCCCCTGGGTTTGGAGGGGGGTTCCTCTTACGACCAGTCGGGGGGTCGTTCCCCCCAGGGGCGGGGGGGTTCGTCACCCCCCCTCGGAGGGTCGAGAGGGACTTCACGGCCACTCAGCGGTCAGCGAGATCCTTCTCACCCCCATTAGCAGAGAGGCCGCGACTGGAGTACCATCCCCCCCCTTTTGGTCGGTCCCGCTACTACGGGCTCCCTGAGACCTCGAAGCTGTCCAGGGCCTCCAGGCCAAGGTTCCCAGAAGCCCCCCGGGTCGGCCCGTTCTGCGAATTTCTTCCACGGGCCAGTGAGATGCCGCCGGAATTCCGCTTTCCGGACCCCCGGCTTGAGTGCCGGTCCGACGAAGGCAGCTCCAGCTAGGAAACTGCCGCCCTAGCTCCCACCACGGCCGCCTTCACTGATCCTTTAAGCCGTCCGCAGTCCACCTGTCAAACTGTTCTATTGCCGACGGCCGCCGTGAAGGTGTACAACCCGAGTGGCGACTGCTTAACTGTTCGCGCTCTATTGGATTCAGGTTCACAACGCTGTGTGGCCTCCACTCGGTTGGTGGGAAGACTAGGGCTCCCCCTGGAGCTCTAAATCATGTCCAATGGTAGGTATTGGAGGTGCAGAGCCTCCTGCTCCTAGGGGACAAGCAAGGCTGGTGTTTGGTCCTGCAAGCGAACACCTCCACATCTTAGTTAAGGTAAATGTCCTCGATGATATTGTAGGCTTTCTCCCTAATGCCCGTATAAATGATAGCGCGGTTTGTTGTACGTCTGGCTTGAGACCGGCAGACCCTCAATGGTCCCAACCTGGGCCTATAGATTTGTTGCTGGGGGCCGACGTGCTGGGGTTCATCCTGTTAGGCGAGATACGAGCCCTACAGCCCGATGGCTTGTCAGCCGTGTCCACTGTATTTGGGCACAGTTTCTTTGGACCGGTTCTGTGGTCTCCACCGCATCAGGCAGCCGACCCGCTCCCTGTGGCGGGCGTGTCTCTTTCGGACGTCGTCCAGCGGTTCTGGGAAATTGAGGAGCCGCCACACGCGCCTCGAGTCAACCCTCTGGACCGTGAGTGCGAGTTGTTCTACCAGAACAATACCGGCCGCCGTGTCGACGGTCGCTTTGTCACCCGCTTACCCTTTCTTGACTCACGGCCTCCTTTGGGCCAATCTCGGACCATGGCCGAAAAGAGGTTGCTTTCTATGGAGCGCCGTATGCGTCGCGACACAGCCTTTCGCGACAAGTATGTCGAGTTCATGCGCGAATATCAAGAGCTGGGTCACATGTCACCTTCTCATTTCGACTGGCGATCACATGAACACTACTTCCTCCCCCACCACGCGGTTTTGAAGTCCCCTGGGAGTAAGATTCGGGTGGTTTTCGACGGCTCCGCCCCCTCGTC